CCCCCCCCCGCAACAGCCAGCTGGAGAAGGGCGGGCGTAGAGGAGAGATCCACCCAGGGAAAGGCCGACCCCCGACATGCCCGGAGCAGCAGTCCTCCTGCGGAACCAGCCACCAGAAGCTGACCAGGGCAGGCCGAGGTGGCCCGGCTGTCAGCAGAGCCAGCTCAAAGGTGGCCAGGGAGAGAAGCAGGTGCAGACCATTTTCTCGTCGATCACACAGGGTGGCAGTGAGGGGACATGGGAGGTGCTGATAGGACACGCCCACCAGCACTGGCTGTCATGTGTCAGAGCCATGGTGCTCAACAGGCACGTGCTCTGCTCAACCCTCGTGGGGACGCAGCTCTGAGGGAGCTTGAGAGCCACAGAAGTTATAGCCTGAGAAGACAGCTGTCCCTCAAGTGACCAGGGCAGGACACGAAATCAAGAGCAAGGAAAAACAGTAAGCAGAGAAGATAGAACACGACGTGGATGAAATTATCTACAAAATACAACCTTAAGAAACAAACTGTGAAAACCTAATGGATGGAAACGGAGACTCACAGTATACAGGGCAAGACCCACATGAGTGCCTCGGACACGCGAGCCCAGAACAGGCGAGCCGGCGCGGGTGACGCAGGGCCTCGTGTTTCTGACCTGCAGCGTGCGTCAGAACTGCCGTCCCTACGCAGCTAGGTCCCCATCGGGAGCGAGCCGCAACCCCTCCACGTCCACGTTCCTCTCTAGCTCGCACACACCCATCGCCGCACCTGCTCCAGCAGGCGTGGCCCGTGGACGGCGGGTGCAGTACCTGCTGGAGCGTGGAGCCTGTGGCCACGCTGCCGAGCTGCTTCCTCAGCTCTTCCAGCTCCTGCATGGAGATTTTGGAGGCCGTGGCGGGGCCGCTGAAGCCACTGGTGCTGCTGCCTGCAGCGCTGGCCGCGAGCTCGGCTCTCTCTTTGGCGTTCTGTTGTAAGTACTGCAGGGTCTGAAAACACACGAGACCCTACATTACACGCCTGTGCTCTGCTGGGCACGGCCAGGCCCCCTCCTTCCCTCCTGACCCCAGCCACCCACGGAGGGCAGCGGCAACTCCCGAGTATGTGGGCCGCAGTCTCTCCGTGTTTTCTGCCGTGAGGTGTCACATCCTCAGACAGAGAGGAAGATAATCCCGCGGATGCTTGACAGCCAACTCCCAAACCCTGTTCCCAACTCAGCCTTTTCTCTACACTCGGCCAGTCTCCCGTCCCACACGTGGCAAGAGCTCTTCCCTCTGTGTGACGGTCAAACATGCCTGGTGTGGCACCACAACCTTCTCCAGACCCTGGGCCTGTGAGTGAGAGGCCCAAGCACATCCCCAGACGCCCTCGGGTGCAACAGCATCTCCGGCCTTGACGTGACGCTAGGTGTTTTTCTTAGGGTCACAAGTAACATGCCCATTCAAAACAGACAAAACCCCTGCGTGAGACTACGAGATACAAAACCCTCCAACCACAGGGGTAACCGCGGTCAAACTTCCCAGGGGCACCGCCAACATGAGCTACTGTTCCTCCTGATGCACCACCGACACACCCCTGCGGTACGTCAGAGTGCTGGTAGCACAAGGCAGGGAAGGAGCCCCGTGTTGGGTGCTGCAGGCGAGCAGAAACGTGCCGTCCGACAGCAGACTCACGATGTGTTATCGCAACTGAGCCAACCCACGTGCGTAGAACAGGTTAATCAGAGCAGCTCCACACACAAGTTCCGTCAGGAGCACGCATCACACTCTCGATGAGTCCACAGCCATTACCTCTCTGTCTTCCGTGAGTTTCGATAACAGGTACACCAGTGGGTCAAGGTTCCTTGTGTTTTTAGATTTCAGTTCATCATATTTCTTTAGAAAGTCTTCTGGAGTACGAGAAAATTCTGCTATTTTAACCTCAAAAGCATAAACATGAAAGATTTAGTGACAATAATAAACAACTGTTAAAAATCTTCCAGGGGCGCCCGGGTGGCTCAGCCGGTTAAACATCCGACTTCGGCTCAGGTCATGATCTTGCAGTCCGTGAGTTCGAGCCCCGCGTCGGGCTCTGTGCCGACAGCTCGGAGCCTGGAGCCTGCTTTGGATTCTGTGTCTCCCCCTCTCTCTCTGCCCCTCCCCTGCTCATGCTCTGCCTCTCTCTGTCTCAAAAATAAGTTAAAAAAATGTTAAAAAAATTTTTTAAATCTTCCAGAAAATTAAACACGAAAACCAAGACAGTGAAATTAGGTAGGTTAAATAATCATACACCCCCGAAATAAAACTTAAACTCAACAAAACATCTCATTAAACCTACCCATGATCTCCCACAATTTCCCTCCTGTGTGCTTCCTCAGCCTGAGATCAGGAAATGACCGTTTAGATCTTTCTACCAGTTTATGCATTCACTTTACACATTTAACTCTAGGGGCTCCTGGGGGGGCTCAGTCGGTTAAGTGTCCAACTTCAGCTTGGGTCATGGTCTCTTAGTCCGGGGGTTTGAGCCCCGTGTCAGGCTCTGCGCTGACAGCTCAGAGCCTGGAGCCTGTCTCCCTCTCTTTGCCCCTCCCCTGCTCATACTTTGTCTTTCTCTCGCTCTCAAAAATAAATAAACATTAAAAAATATATATGCATTGGGGCGCCTGGGTGTCTCAGTAGGTTAAGCATCCAACTTCAGCTCAGGTCATGATCTCACAGTTCATGGGTTCGAGCCCTGTGTTGGGCTCTCTGCCCCTCCACAGCTCGTGTTCTCTCTCTTAAAAGTGAATAAACATTACAAAAAAATGTTTTTTAAGTTTACGCATTTAACTCTATTCCCTCTGGAACCAGGGATAGGCTCAGGGGTTATGTTCACTCACTGATTTATGGTGCTCCCCTTATAATAAATTAAGATCACTTCTGTGTTCCCAGTCTGTCTGTTCAGTGAATTTTTCTAATTATCATTGTGCCATTATTAAACTATTTATTAAAAAAAATTTTTTTTTAATGTGTATTTATTTTTGAGACAGCAAGAGACAGAGCATGAACGGGGGAGGGTGAGAAAGAGGGAGACAGAATCCAAAACAGGCTCCAGGCTCTGAGCTGTCAGCACAGAGCCCGACGCAGGGCTTGAACTCACGGACCGCGAGATCATGACCTGAGCCGAAGTTGGACGCGTCACCGACTGAGCCACCCAGGCACCCCATTATCAAGCTATTTAAATAATACGAGCTTTACAGAGTGTTTCTAAAAACAAATTTCAAAATTATCTCGTACTGAAGATCCGTAATTTTGAATTATATGCTATTTGAATAAAAACAGAAAAACCTGCTTTAGAGGGATTGCAATGCAGTTGATACAGAAGCTTCCTTTCCATCCAGAGGAATATCTGAGTCTCCTTCCTCAGGGGACTCAGAACCTGGGTTCTGAGGTCAGGGTGACAGCCCAGCAGTCTCCCTGAGCCACCATTTATTCATTTGTACAACAGAGTGAGTAACAAGGGCCATTATGAGGAAGCATCAGAAGCACGGAGTTGAGCAGAATTCTTGGTCCAAGAAAAGCCTTTGACAAGTATTGTCTGCCATCTGCACTGGTAATGCTGTGGCTGCTCAGTCAGGAAGCTTATGAACTTTGTGCACAAACTGTACCAGGGACAGGGCCCATCTTGTCCAGTGCACAGCACTGCACCAGGACGGGGCCCATCTTGTCCAGTGCATAGCACTGTTCCAGGACAGGGCCCACCTTACCTAGTACACAGCACTGTACCAGGACAGGGCTCACCTTACCCAGTGTACACAGTGCAGCAACAGGACGGGGCCCACCTTGTCCAGTGCACAGCGCTGCACCAGGACAGGGCCCACCTTGTTCAGTGCACACAGTGCAGCACCAGGACGGGGCCCACCTTGGCGCTGTGTGCAGATACAGTGGTAGTGACATATGGGGTCCTATTCTTCTGCAGCAGGTCGATATAGACCTCAGCACCATCCCCTCCGTGGACACGCAGCAAGCTGAGCAGCTCATTGACGTCGTGGTGAATCCGAAACTCACTCATAGTTTTGGCTCTGAAACAACATCAACAATATGTTCTCCTAAAGCTAAGAGGAAAGCCGTCTACAAAAAACAAAACTGTGCTAACAGCTCTAGTGAAGACGAGGCCTGAGGTAAACGAGCAGTAGACATAGCACACAACCCATATGCTAATTAACTAATGAATATTAATTTGCAACTGGGCAAGTGAGACTCTAATCTTGTGCGACAGAAAACAAGTTCCGCACGTACAAATATCATCAACTCATGCTAAACATCGAAAACTGGCCAGAGTCAGGAATCTTCAAACATAAAAGCAGAACGGTTAAGCGTCAGCTGGTGCGTAAGTCACTAGCACACACTTTTAAAATCAGGAGAAGTTCACAATAACCAGTTATGGGCATGAGGCACAGCAGGGCATGGGCTGCGGAGTCCCAGGCAGTCTGAACCCTGACTTGGCCAATTCTGGGCTGTAAGGTCCTCGGCAAGGAGCCTGATCTCTCTAGGCTTCTTCTGCCAAGGGGTGAGTAGTAAATCCTACCCATAGAGGTAGTGCGGAGATCAAATAAAATCATCCTTATAAAACACCAAAGGGCCCATACGGATAAGTTCCCATGGTATTGTTACTAGACAAGCAGGAACAAATTCCGTTACTACATAGGGCCGACCATGAGGAAACATTACTGGAGAAATGGCTGGTTTTACCAAAGGAAAACTGGATCTGAGTCACCATCAGTTACCTTAGTGATCATGGAAGAGCCTGAACGAGGCACTGCAAACCACAAGCAAGACAGAAAAGACAACACAGAAGTCTCCCACTGAGGCCTCTTTGAATCTCAGGGCAATCGGTTTTACACACATTCTACATTCTATAAGGGTTCCTAAGGAATGTGGGTTGTCCTACAATGGCTAGACTAGATGTCTTATGATGGATGGACTGCAAGGTCATGCTAGAGGGCAAGGGCACTGCGTTTACCATGGAAAGAAAACACCTGTCCCCCAGATACAAGTAGGTGGAGACAGGGCTTCAGAAGAAAGATCATTGAAGTGAATGTGTATTTATTTTAATTTATTTTAATATTTATTTATTTTGAGAGAGAGAATGAAGTAGTAGGGGGTAGAGAGAGGCACACAGAATCTCGGCAGCCTAGGCTCCTCGAAGCTGTTTCACAGTGGTTTCAAACCTGAGGAATGGGAGATCATGACCCTGTTTAGGACGCGAATCCCATCGAGGCCTCGAGCGCATCAACGTGAACATTTATTCTCCTAAAGACCATCCTCACATAGCTCTGAGGAGGCTCAGTCGGGTTGATGCCTGACTGCCTCGGCCATGATCTCGGTTTGCCCGAGCCCCCCGGCTGGGCTCTTGTGCTGATGCCTGGGGCCTGGAGCCCGCCTCGATTCTGTGTCTCCCTCTCTCTCTGCCCCTCTGCTGCTTGCACTCTGTCTCTTGCATTGTCTCAGAAATAAACTTTAAAGCTACCCTCACCAAACCTTACATTTGTGGCAAAAATACAAGTGCAGACATCCTCCCACTACAAGTGTTAATACTCCAAGGAAGGGTCTCTCAGGGGATTTCACTACCTTGCAAGAATGGTGGCTCTCACAGCGCGAGCAGCTCTCCTCCTAGGAGGGCCTCTCTGAAACGCTGTGAAGGACGCTTCTGATTGCTCTGCCTAGAAGGGTGCTCTGGTGTGTAGTGGGCAAGAGACCAGAGCTTTAACCGCCAACAGAAACGCTGTCCCACCAAAACGCCAGCAGCTGCCCCTCGCTGAAACAACTCGAGGGGCTCACGACAGCCCACTCCGCCTTCCTGATGCCCGAGTCCTTCTCTCCTCAGTCAAGCCACAGACACAGACTTTGTGGCGAACAGAACTTCCCTCCTCGTGGCATTGAGTGCGGTGCTACCAGAAGCCTCCACATTCCCTCACCCATGAGTTAGGCACACACGAACACCCACCCCCCCCCCCCCCCCCCAGTGCAGAACATTACAGGGAAAACAGTCTTCAAGTGAGAGTTCAAAAACCACTGGCGGGGCCTGAGCTCAGTTGGCTGAGCGGCCCCACTGCACTCAGGCCGATCCGCTGCCAGTGAGTCGGAGCCCCACGCTCTGTGCTGACAGCTCAGAGCCTGAGGCTGTTTGATTCTGTGCCTCCTCTCTCTGACCCTCCCCATTCATATACCTGTCTCTCTCTGTCTCAAAAAAATAAATAAATGTTAAAAATTAAAATTAAAACGAATTGCAAATAAATGGCCAGGAAACAAAAATTTCAGAAAAAAAAAGGTCAAGAGCCCTGATGCTTTTTTCAGAGACAGAAAAAATAAAGCATGTTGCATGAATCTGTCCAGAGGCTGCGAAACGGATTGGGGATGGGGCCACATGCTTCCTTACTTCCAGGATGAAGGAGCCAAGAGTTTTATTGTGCTCTTTAAATGGCAGCTCTAAAATTATCTTTCTAATTTTTTAGAAAGAAACAGTACCCCCCCTTCCTGACTATATTGCACGCATGGGTGTCCATCAACGCCGAAGTACCTGGGAGGAGGGGTCTCACATGGGCTACCCCGGCCCACTTCACAGTAAGTCTCAAGCGTCCTTGCGTCCGGATCACCCACGCTGTTTTTTAACTAGGTAATTTTCTACCTGTAGCAGCTGTCCGCGATAAGCAGAGGCGTCCCTGCTTTCTTCAACGGCGAGCACTGAGCACTGGCACAGAGTCCTGCGCACCTCAGAGCTGATGGAGGGAGTGACACTAGAAAGGCAGGCAGAACGCGTGCGGCCTGACAGGCTTACGAGAGAGCCAGTTGACTACGGCAACGGAAGCCACCGAAGGGTTTTAAACATGGAAGCTACTGTCAGGACGTGAATTTTGGCAAAGACCACTTACCTAGTTTAGTTACTGGTCTGGAGACCAAATGACCTGGTGAGGTCGCGCCAGCTCCTTCAGGTGGGGAGGCAAACGGCGTGGACAAGGGGTGAGGGGCAATGAGGGCGGAGGAGGAGTGAGTTCCACAGCAGGGAAGCCGCACGGTTAGAGTTTGACGTGAACTCGTCGGTGTACAGGCCAGCCCAGCCCGAGCGGCAACGAGATGCTCAGCTGGCCGTGCGCCCCCGATGGTCGGCGCACGGCCGGCGGCGGAGCGCGGGAAGGGAGACTGAGCCCGCCGCCTCCCCCCCCCGCAAGGCTCAGGCCCCAAAGCCCGGCGGCCGACTCCACTGCGTCCGGGCGCCAACCGCCAGTGCTCACAGCGAAAACCCGCGGCGGCAGCGGAAGTGGCGAGGTCACTCGGCCCCGCCCCGGGTCGGCTCGGGTGGACGGTAATGGCGGCGTGGTGCCCAGCGCGCAGGGCGATGCAGCTGCTGCCCGCGCTGCACTCCTGCCTGGCGGGGGACCCGGCGGCCGAGCTGCTGCCGGAGCGACCAGGGTCGGAGCCCTGCCCTTCGCTTCGCGGCGCGCCGGGTACGTCGCGGGAGCACGAGTTCTTCGAGGTTCCAGGAGGAGAGGGCGGTTGTCGGCGGGGCAAATACAGGGTACGTGGGCGGGGCCGACGCTCGCGGTCAGGGGCGGACCGTCGGCGGACGGAGCCGACGCTCGCGATTGGGCTTCCGGTTATAGCGGCGGATACGGGCCGGGGGGCTTGTGGATGGGGCGTGCGGATGGGGGCGGAGCGGACAGGGCGGCTGGTGACCGGCCCGCCCATGATAAAGTGCTCGCAGGATGGGACGTGCCGGTGACACCTCTACCTTCAGGACGCGTCAACAGGTGACAGAGGCGCCGGAGGCCCAGGTACTGCCTCTGGGGCCCAGTTCTCCCGATCCGCGCCCGCCTCGCCCTGCGATCCGCCACCCTACTCCTTGCCAGACCACCGTCCATGCCTCTCTGGTTCTGGCTTCTCACTCTCTCCTCGCTGGTCTGCAGTGTCTTAGTTCTTAATAAACTAGAATTTGGGATTGCCAAAGAAACATCAGAGCTTTGCCGTTTATCAGGCTGCTTAAAGGAAAGGTGTCAGTTGGAAGGATAAGGTCATTAGGCAGGGATCTGGCATTCCCACAAGGTGGTTTCCTTTGCCAGGGTGCCTGAGTTTACCTGTCAGGTGGCAGGCTGCTGCCAGGTGTTTGACAGCCTGGAGGACTATGAGCACCACTACCACACTCTGCACAGAAACGTCTGCTCCTTCTGCAGACGGGCCTTCCCCTCAGTGCACCTGCTGGACGTCCACATCCTGGAGTGGCATGACTCACTGTTTCAGATCCTGTCCGAAAGGCAGGACATGGTGGGTGATGTGTCCATGTTCCTTGGGGCCAAGTGCAGCCACTGGCGAGGAGGGCTGGTCCCTCAAGCTGTTTGCCTAGCTGGGGGGGGGGGGGTCAGCACACTGCTCCCAGCTGGAGGTCAGGGGCAAGGTGTGGGGGGACTCTGTGGGTCAGGATGGAGGTGACGCTGTTTCTGTTTCAGTATCAGTGCCTGGTGGAAGGCTGTGCAGAGAAGTTCAAGACCAGCAAAGACAGGAAAGATCACCTGGTGAGATGTCACCTCTACCCTGCGGACTTCCGATTTGATAAGCCAAAGAAAAGCAGAGGGTACGCGAGGTGGTGCACGTGCCAAGCTTCAGGATGTGGCCCCTGAATTTAGAAAAGCGTTTTGAGTGTGTAGACTTTAAGGGTGCTGTTGGGTGGGGAGTTCTCAGGCAGGAGGAGTGAAACCAGTAGGGGATGGTTTTGCTGACCCTGTTGGGAACGACTGGGATCTCATCTTGGTGTCTGCCCTGGGGCACCTAGGAATGTCACCTGATTCTTTGCTCTACCTGTATCTCCTCCTGGGGGCTGCAGCCCCACTTGCTTTGCTGACCTCGTCCTCTGGGAATCTGCCCCAGGCTGAGAGGCCCTCCCCTCATGCAGCCCCTCCAACTCTTCGTCTGGTTGGTGACTTGGACAATAAAGCCATTTTGTTACACACCACTGCTCAGAACAGCCTGGGGAAATGCATCAGGAGTCATTCTTAAACTTGTTATCTCTTTGCCTTTTGCAACTGGTTCCTTTGGCAGAGTCCGTCAGAACATCCTGGGAATCGTGTCGAAGTGTTACCAGGCTAGTAGTCCTCAGCAGGTCTTTGCTCTTAAAGTACTGTGAGTCTGAGAGCCCACTGCAACACAGGAGAGTCACGAGGTTCTGAGTGTAAGATGACTCTCTCCTCTCGGAGGGACCATTTCAAGGAAAGGAGTCCTACAATGCTGGATTGAGTAGGGATTGGGGATGAGACTCGATAGCAAGGTTAACATTAGCAAACTTCTCGTGGTTGTGGAAAGACAGTGGGCACCCTTGGGAGGCATTTACCACGTGGCACCACAAAAATACTTTTTTCAAAACATGAGGTGTAACTGTCACTAAATTTGCAAACGTGGCATCTGTCATGTGATCATTCACTTAAGGTTTTGTTGTAACCCTTGTGCTTGTCCCGATAGTCTGGAAAGTATGCTTTGCCAAAACAGTTAAAAAACGTTCTTTTGCAAGAAAAGTAGTGTTTTTGTGGTCAGTCTTGGGGGGGAAGACAGGGCCACAGGAGCCACCACTCACCCTGTCTCCACAGCCCAGCCACACCCGGGGCCGCTGTACGAGCGTCCGCAGAAGCTCCGAGGGATGACGGGGAGCAATCAGGAGGGGATGCCATGGAAGTCTGCTCTGAACACGCGGCCTCCCTCCCAGAGCCTGTGGGCGAGCGGCGGACCTCCAGCCACAGGTCAGTGCCTGGCATCCTTCTGAGGCAGGTTGTGAGTGTGTGCTTTGTGAGGAGAATGCTGGGCTGGGCCCTGGGCAGTAGTCTCCCTGAGAGAAGGGAGTTGGAGTGTTGGCTTCAGCAGGAGTTGAGAGCCCGACCGGTCCTGTTTCTCTGAGTCACTTTGTGTCTTGTGCACGCCCTGTTTTGGGCCCTGAGGCACAGGAAGGGAAGGCACCATCGCCCCCCTTGCATCGTGGCCTAAACTGGGATGGAAGGAACGTTGGCTGTCGTTGCCGAAGTTACCATCTACTGATCTGTTTTTCTATTGCTAATTGTGTTCTTATTGGGCTAAACTTGTTTTCGAGTCTAATTCTGGGAAGGACACAGGACAGTAGGAAAGAAATTGCCAACAAGTGCAAACCGATAAGAAGGTAGACTCTTACCCCCAGCTGCCCTCGCGTAGCCGCCCAGCCTTTGGCCTGCAAGTGGGTCCCGGATGCCGTGGCAGTCAGGGTTCCTTCCAGATGGTGGGTCACAGGAGGCCTGGGCCTGGAACCCGTGTCAGGAGCGGCCCTTTTGGCTGAGTCTCCCAGGCGAGAGTGTGTTGGTAGAAGCGGGTCTGAGGTGGATGGCCAGGTGTAGGAAGGGAGCTGACCCCGGGGCCCAGGGCATCTTGGGAAGGGACAGCCCTGTCCTGAATGTTCCTCAAAGTGGAAGAGAAGGAGCTCGCCAGAATAAACTCACGACGCTATTTTATGAGTTGGGTTTTTGTTGGGAAAAAAAATGGTTTAATACGGAGACGACTCTTCTCTTTCAGAATACCTTCTACCATCTGTTTCGGTCAAGGTGCATCACGAGGATTTAAAAGCACCAAGAAAAAAAAGGGACACCAGTGACAACGTGGACGGAGAGCCACAGAACTCTGAGCTGACTCTGAGCGAGCGGTGGCCTTTCGCAGGATGGGGCGTCAGTGTTGCACTTTCTCTCGCGTTCTGGCGCGGCCGCCCTCAGACTCAGGCCTTTGCCACCCTCCATCTCAGCCCAGCTCCGTGTCGCTGAACAACTGTGTGACAGCAGAAGCAGTGACAGACCCACGGATTCCCGACACATGCTCTGGTGAATGAAATGGCCCGCCATGCCACCTCCCTGTGCAGGGCCGTCCTGAGGATGTGCCGTATAAATACGTAGATATTTGCCATAACGGTCTCCAGCCGTGACTTCTCTGTGGTCGAGCTGCGTAGGGAAACGGGCAGCAGCTCTCCGTGGGGAATCTGTTTGCAGGGCTCGGTTTTCGGAAAGATTTACAAAGCCACAGAGCCTCTGGGGGGTGAGGATGTAGCACCAGAGTCGCTGACGCTCCTGGCTCAGCAAGAGGTCCCAGGGCTGCCTTCCCCAGCGGCCATCAGCTCAGAGCTGATGGTGGGGTGAGAAGCCGAGGGGCTCCTGCACCGCAGGTGGGGTGTCGGGCTCTGGGAGAACCCTGCGGCCAGGGCCGGCCTCCCCGTGAATTGAGAATCTGGAAATTAACCCACATACTTGTGCTCAACTGGTGGGGAAAGAGTAGTCTTTTCAACAAGTGGTACTGAGATAACCGGACATCCACACGCAGAAGAAAGTGGTATACGCGTAAGAGATGGAAATACACGTCCCCCCAAAAACTTGTGCACCAAATGCCTGCAGCAGCATCATTCACAATGGCCAAAAGATGGAAACAACTCACATGTCCCTCAAGTGAGGAACGCGTAAGCAAAACGTGGTGTATTCATAAAATGAAACACTGGCCAGAAAAGGGAATGAACCACTAACACTTACTACAACATGGACGAACCTTGAAAGCATCATGCTGAGTGAACAAAGGACACACACACACACACACACACACACACACACACACACACACACGGCCTGTATTCTATGATTCCATTTCTATTCCATTTCGAGAAACGCCCAGTGTGCGGACATGTACAGAGAAAGGAGGTTACTGGTTCTTAGGGCTGGGGATTATGCGGAAATGGGGGAATAGCCAGAAAATACAGGGTTTTTTTCTGAGATGATGGAAATGCTCTGAAGTTCCCCGTGGTGAAGGCTGCACACATCTGTGAATCTGCTGAAAAGCGTTGAATCCTACACTTCAGATGGGTGAACCGTATGGTGTGTGAGTTTGTCTCCATAAAGCTGTTTGAAAGAACAAACACGTACCCGGCTGGCTCAGGCAGAAGAGCCTACGACTCTTGATCCCTGGTTGTGAGTTCAAGTCCCACATTGGGTATAGAGATTTAAGTATAAAAATTAAAAGTCTTACAAGTAAGTAAAACAAAGAAATCGCGAGGCAATCCGGGAAACCTGGACGCTGCTGGACACTCGACAGGCACCAGCGCTATTCTGTGGTGGTCATGCTGCGGCTGTTTTCCTAAGTAGTCTTTAGAAGGTACTTCCCGAAATATTTGTGAAGGAAATGACATGATGTCTGGGGTCTGCTTCACAATGATCTGGGAGGGAGGACTGTTTGGGACTGAGATGAAACCAGGCTGACCCTGGGTGGATGGCTGCTGAAACCAGGAGCCAGAGGCACAATGACCCTAACCATGCACACGCACTCGCCCCCTTCGACAAGTAAAGTAAAAAGGAGGAAAAGGAAGCCAAGGCAGGTGTGGACAGGACCAGCCTCAAAAGACCAGAGCTCCGGGTCATCCTGTCCCGAGGGCAGCCCCTCACACTCCCGCAAGCACAGCAACTGGTGAGAAGCTCACACCCACCCAAACCTTGTCCCCGGCTGCTCGGAAGGAGCATGAGGCAAACAGCTTTCTTTCTGGACTCTGAAAGAACCGAGATCAGGCCCTTGGGCGGGCATAGTGAGTGCTTACAGGGGAAGTGCACTGAGCCCCCTGGCGAGTGGGAGGGAGCAGCACCGACCCTGGAGAGATGATGAGGCAGCCTCTCCATGAAGTGGTCCAGTTAGACCACAGCAGGTGGGCGGGCAGGTGGGCAGTGGGCAGGCAGATGGGGGGGGGGGTGCCCCAGAGGCTTCCTGCAGCACTGCAAAGCAGGCCAGGCTTCCAGAGGACAGGACATCACCCTGCCACCTCTCCCCAAGCAGATCACCTTACATGTTTCTCCTGATTTGCTGTGGACTTCATGTTACGGTATTTTGCTGTACGTAAGTTCTTTACGGTTATGTGGTCAGTCTATCATTTATTATCTCTATGATTTTTTTTTAATTTAATGTGTCAAAAGCTCCCCCCTCCACGGGTTTATTCTAGGAGTTCACACTTGTCTCAACACTGGAGAATCTGTTACTGTAATACACCATGTTAACAGCCTGAAGGGAAAATCATATCATTTCAGTATGTGCAGAAAAAGCATCTGTCAAAAGACAACACTCATGGAGGAAAAAACTTCGTATTAACTAGTTGCGGAATGGAACCACAGTCACCTGGAAGAGGTATTTTGAGACTCCCACCACACCTAGCATGCTTGTGGTGGGGTTAAAAATACTTCCTTTAGGGGCGCCTGGGTGGCTCAGTCGGTTGAGCCTCCGACTTTGGCTCAGGTCATGATCTCGCGGTCTGTGAGTTCGAGCCCCGCATCGGGCTCTATGCTGACGGCTCGGAGCCTGGAGCCTGCTTCGGATTCTGTGTCTCCCTCTCTCTCTCACCCTCCCCTGTTCATGCTCTGTCTCTCTCTGTCTCAAAAATTAAAAAAAAATTAAAAAATTAAAAAAAAATACTTCCTTTAAAAATCAAGAATGAGGTGGGGGTGCCTGGGTGGCTCAGTCGGTTAGGCGGCCGGCTTTGGCTCAGGTCACGATCTCACAGTTGGAGGGTTCAAGCCCCACGTCGGGCTCTGTGCTGACAGCTGGGAGCCTGGAGCCCATTTCAGAATCTGTGACATCCCCCCTCTCTCTGCCCCCTTCCCAGCTCATGCTCTGTCTCTGTCTCTCAAAAAATAAACGTTAATTTTTTTTTTTTTTTAATCAAGAATGAGGCAAAGATACCCCTTCTGGCAACTTCTGTGCACCCTTATGCTGGAGGTGGTCACCTGCCCAGTGAAACAAGAAAAGGGTCAGGTGTGTGCGGTGTTTAGTTTCAGCTCCGTTTAGCAGAAAGCCCAAACATTTGCTTCAACAAAGTAGGAACGGCTCGTGCCCCGTGGCCTCCGTGGCCTCCGTGGCCTCCTGGGGTCGTGGGGCCCTCCCTCTGGGAGCTGCACGCACCATCCCGAGTTGCAAAAATGACTTCAGCGAGGGCAGGGTGAGTGCATCATTCCGCAGTCTACAAATTTTCAAAGTACAACCTTCAGAACAAATAGCACCTTCAGTGTTTCAAGGAAGAGTGTAGCTGTTTGGTGTGGCTTTCATACACGCACCCCAGACACGCTTCCCTCCCCCTTGCTTCCCATGCTGTCCTGCAGTGCTGGTCATGTCAGGCGAATTGCTACACGCTTATTTTTCTGAATGGCCTAATCCACGGAATACAGCACATAATGGAGAATATCAGAAATAGCAAAAACCCTGTATTTTGGTGAAGGAGACGACACTTCTTTTAAAGTCAAAATGAAGGGGCACCCGGGTGGCTCGGTCAGTTGAGTGTCCAACTCGATTTCAGCTCAGGTTTTGATCTCACAGTTCATGAGATCGAGCCCCATGTCAGGCTCTACCTGACAGTAGGGAGCCTCCTCGGGAGTCTCTCTCTCTGCCCCTCCCCAGCTTGTGCTCTCCCTCTCAAAATAAATAAATAAACAAACAGTAAAAGTCAAAATGAAAGTCCCAGAACTTTTAGGCCATCTGACTAGCATTGTGTGTTATCACATCAGAAAACCAGCACAGCCCACATCCTCGGAAATACTATCCTGGAGCCGGGGAGCACGCGCAGATCGGAGCCTGGGGGCCGTGCTGGGGCCGTGCCCCAGTCCAGGAGAGCCTGCCCAGCACCGGGATGGGTCCACGGAGCAGGTCACAGGACAATTCAGGCGATGCAGAAATTGTGTTAGTATTTACATGTCCATCGTTTTACTTGACAGAAACTAGCATTTCCTTGTTAGGAAACAGCTCACAGGGACAAAAGCACATGTGAGATCACATGTCCTGGAAGGGACAGTAGACACCAGTCCCATGACCCAGCCTGAGAAGTGCCCAGTGTTGCCTTTTTGGAAGTTGCCCTCCAGACTGCTTCCTTGTGATCCTTGGGATCTGACCCGCTCCACCCTGGGGGCCCACGGACACAGGACCTGGGGGCCGGGCCGGAGCAGCGCCCTCTGACCCCAGCAGGCGCTGCTGTTGCAGGGGTGCCCTGCAGCTACTGTAGGTGCCCAGCAGGGGCTCTGAGAGCGCCTGGGCCGGAACCTCGTCACTGCGCCAGCAGGACCCTGACTTCCGAGCCTCAGGGTTGGCTCCCGGGGCTCAGAGGGCTTCTCGTCACCCAGACCGCCAGGCCTATTTGTTATGTCACTTGTTTAATGACACTGATGAGACACCCAGGCTTGGTGGCTGGGTCACCGTCTGCGGTCTCCATGGTCCCACCCCCTGGTCTGGCCCTACCAGGGGTCACCCACAGTCCATGCCACTGCACAGCTCGACCTTCTCTTTGTCCCCCGCACCCTCAAAGGGGCGTGTCCCCCTCGTCCAGTTGGCCTCCCAGAGGCAGGGCTGCTGTCTCTGAGTCCGCCAGCAGCACCTGGGTGTGAAGCACGGAGAGGGCACAGACAGGGGTGGGGCACGACTCTGGAGTTCGGGGATGTGGGTCCTGAGACTGGGGTGGCAGAGGCCCCAGGCCTCTGTGCGTGTTCCCGATGGATGAGCCCTTCCAAGTTGCTCTGGCAAGCTCAAGACCTCCTATGGGGGACACACTGGCTGGAGGAGGGCCTCAGGTCCACACAGCTGGGGGCCGGGCCAGGACATGCAGGGACCCGAGTCCTCCCTGGGAATGCAGACAGGCAGCAGAAGTCTCGAGGAGGGACAGACGTCTGCCCCGGGGCAGTACCCCTTTCCAGAAGAGGAGAAAGTCTTGGTCTTCACAAGCAGGCTTCAGCCTTGCCCAGGAACAAGGGCACCTGGCTGGGGCGGTGGGGGGGAGGGGGGAGCCACAGAGCTTTGCTCACTTTTGGGTGGTCTGTGTGCCAAGCCCTGGTCAGATGAAAGGGCTGTCGACCAGCCCAGTGAGGGGACCTGGGCAGAGAACCTCCCAGGTAGGCATCTTGGGTCAGAAATGGTTATGGAGAGACACCTTAGCAAGCTGACTGAGCGTTCCTGACTGGGTTGGGGCTGCTCAGCCAGACTGTGTGGGTGGTGTTGGGAGCCGCGTGTGCAGAGCCGTGCTCTGTGGCGAGAGCACCGTTGGGGTGGAGACCAAGGGACGGTGGACAGATGCCAGGCGGTGGGCACCTCGTGGTGGTTTTCCTTGTGTTGGTGTCTTGGTCAGCTTTGCCTTGGAGTATCTCAAATGACCACCATGATCCTCAAACTGTTTGCTAAGTGAGCCTTGTCTGGCTGTACGATTTGGCCCTGACTTTCAGGTACTTCAGATTTGAGCGGATCAAAGTGCTGGCCCGCAGGCAGTGTCCAGACTGGGGGGGCATGGCCCCTCGGCCCCTCAGTGAGCTCCCTGTGTGCCATGGCCCCCAGCCACCCTCTCCAGTGTATTTACAGACCTGTGTCCTTGCGGATGGTGCCTGGAGTTGGGTTGTGAGTGTAAACAGCACACTGCAGGGGCAGTGGTGCACACGGGGAAGGTGGAAGGGGAAGGGGCTTCCCGGCCCTGTCTGGTCGCCACTGGTCACCTCAGCAGCTGGCACTTCAGGAACTGGGTTGGTGTCCCTTTAAAATCCATTGTGGGGCACCTGGGTGGCTCAGTCGGTCAGGCGTCCCACTTCGTTCGGCCCAGGTCACGATCTCATGGTTGGTGGGTTCAAGCCCCACGTCGGGCTCTGTGCTGACGGCTTGGAGCCTGGAGCC